ATTGGTTCAATATTCCTCCACAATGTACTGCAAACATAAAAATAACCACACAAGGGCAATAACAAACACAAAAATTTGACAAACGCACAAAACTCAAACAAAGAAAACACCAATTAAAAAAAGAGATGCTGAAATAACAGTAAAAAGAAATAGGCGAAGTCGAATGCACTACATTATAAAAATGCACTGAAACCAAAAAAAGGCGCGGCAACCATGTACTACCAAACAAATCTTCATAACGTATGCAAAGGAAATGTACTGCAATGGCAAGTTAAGGAAAGGTGCAAACTAGCTTTGCAAAACAGAAGTTCTCTAGACAATGAGAAGGATTTGACCATCAATTCATAATAATGTCGCCACAACAAACACATTACGACATATTAATATCTGAAGACAAAACCCTCAGTAGAGATATAAATGTGATGTCTGCCCACTGTGCATTCAGATAGAGGAAAGAAAAGGGAAGTTGTTCTTTGAGAAACCTTTAAATGCTGAATATCTCTAAGCATCCTATCATTTGCTTTTTTTATTATCTAAACTTAATTAAGATTTAACTAAAATTAAGCAATCATGAAATGTAAAGAACAATATAATTGTGATGTGCTGCAAAATTAGTTTTTCGTTTCTAATAAACATGAAAAAGTTCGATGTAATATAATGCCACCGAAAAAATGAAATTCATCAAAATGCCTTCAGAGCTCATCTTATGAGTGACCACTATATTTGGTTTTGAGTATAATAGTTTGTTCAGACCGGACGCAATGTCCCTGGTGAGTGCGATTGAGTCACAAAACTATACAAAATCGTGCAGTGAAGTGTCCAGTGGTGAATCCCATGTGTGCGTTCACTGCTCTGCTGTCACTTCATGCTACTAGATAGGGATACTGAGGTGCTGTCAAACAGCTGCACCGCATGGTGAGAGTGGAGCTGTGATTGCTGAAGTTGAAACCAGTTGAACTTTTCTGTGAAGTTGTGACAGAGCAACCAATCAGGGAGTGGTTATAGGTGAAGTTTTTTGTTCACTTAAAATGTAGTTCAGAGATATATAATGTTAACAAAGCTAGAAGTAAGGAATGCTCTCAGGAAATTTTTAGGTTGCTTTAAAAAAGCAGTTTTAATTTAGTCCTTGAAGCACTGCTTGTCCTCTCCTACTTCCAGCACAGACAACGGTCTGTCGCTGCCCACTGCCCAGCATGGGGGCTGTCTGCGGGGGTAGATTTACAAGAAAATACCGCCAAATTCTACCTTCATCCAGACGCCTTTCTGGATGAACCAAAGTGGACTCTTTTTTTTTCTGTGCTTTTTGGGCTTTTCCAAAAAATTATGCTCTCCCAAAGGCAATTCAAAAGTTGCTTATAGAATACATTTTAGCAGCAGTCCATGATGTTAAGTTTCACCCATGGTTTTATTTTGAAACGTTGCCAGGCAGTGAGACCTTGACAGGAAATCACATGGGGTAGCCAGAAATAACTGTAGGTCCAAAGCAAAGGGTCTGGGAGGCTGGTGATTTGCTATAAATTAAACAATCATTCCAGCCACTAAATAAGGTAAACATGCCCACTTTTTTATTAAATACCAGCAAAGGAATAATATATGATGCTATGGAATAACTTGATTTCAGGAAATAAGTGCAGCACAAAACTCTGATGGGATGGCAAAATCATCAGCCAAAATTAAATATTATTCTTTACTG